TTTATAATTAACTAATAATCAAATAGAAAAAAAATTGTATTAATATTACTGTATTTATTAAAACTAATAATTATTTTGATTATTTGTACTTCTATGCATTTTTAAAATTTGTTAGCCTAGTAAAATTTTTTATAAATAATAGTAGTTATTTTGTGTATTAAAATTAGTACAACTAATAAATATATATATCATACTCCAAATTGAAATCATACTAATTTGAAATTAGGTTGCTTGGATAGAAATCCTGTAAATTATTTTGATGAAATCTAGACTTTAGAGCTAATTTTAGAGTTGAATTAATGTTAGAATAATTTGTTAGTATAATTTGGATCAAAATTACAAAATTCTCATTTAGGATTGCCTCGATATTTGAACTAGAACAGATTCTAATTAAGGATGCAATATATATATATATAGAAAAAATAAATTAATTGAATAAGTTCTTGTTATATATATTTAAAAAGTATATAAGCAATATAACTTACCTTCAAAAAGAATATCCTATTGAATTTGATATTATCTACAAATTCAATCTGCTATTTTACTTGTTCTTATTTATATAGTAATAAGAATTAAATTTCATGATTCCATAATAAAAAACCCATAATGCAATCTAATTGTTCCTAATTACTTGGAACAAATCTATTTGTGCCTTGATTATAGCCTCTTATCATTAGGGTAGTGAAAGTTTCAATAGCATTAATATTAGTATTGGTATTTGCTGTGTAATGATTCATTTTGTTCCAGAAAACATTGTAGAACTAAATTTGGTTTGGTATAATAAATGTGACCATTAATATCAAGTATTGTTATATATTTAAATGTGTTCTTAGTAGTCTTCATTTATTTATATAAGATAATGGTAAGGTGGTCATGTCTCAGAGCACAGGTTAACAACAATGAGATGCTCAATAAGATCTTGTATAATTCATGATATATATATATAAGTGTATGCGAATCACAGATGAATATATGTTAGTATTTAATGAATTTAATGAATTAATTCTAGAAGGTGTTAAGAATATAAAAAATATGCAAAATGCAATTGATATAACATTTTTGAAGCTCAGTGTCAAACTTGTAATCCTTAGAGGACAACAGAATGATGGACAAATGAAATAAAGATATTAATAATTGCATCAAAAAAAATGATGACATAACTGAATAGATTCCTTTCAGTAAATTAGTTAATATCTAAATAATAGTGTTGGATTTTTAACAACTTAGTTAGATGAAATAGGGCATGTAAATAAATATAGAAACAAAATTATGAATATGAAAATACAATCACATATATGAGCATATAAAGTGGAGTTTAAAATATTCATTCATTCTTAAGCAAGAATAAATAGTTTGTAAAATAGATATATGCTTTCTGAATTTATCCGATTATGTAAATTATAAAGGAAAGAGTATCATGTTTGTAGCTGGTACATGTGGGTTAACTAATGTCAACTATAAAAGCTAACTGTACACAATAAATGAAAAAAACTTAATCAAAAGATGAAGGAAAGGTGCAACCAACAACCATTTTTATAAAAATTTGTAATTAGAAGTTAAGTTTAATAAAGCTCAGCCAAAGCTATAAATAAATTATTAAGAATATAAGAGCTAACAAGCTTATTTTGATCAAAGCTAATTTAATATGTTGAACTCTAAAATGGGTTTTGAAATACCTTTCTGATTCAATATAATTTGGTAATGCAATCTTTTTTAATATAGTGATATGAGTAATATTCGTAATAGATGAAAACCAATACTCATATTCTGCTAGGAAAAATATATGAAATTTGTATCATTGCCCAATCAGAAAAAGAAAAGCAAAAGATGTCTAAATTCTTGTCAAGGATGGTAGTGATTAGTTCTGAAAAATTTTACTGTACAAAATTAAATATTCATTATTGCAAATTATTGCAGAACTAAGTGAAAGTATTGTGAGATATATTAAGACTTAGCAATAATCCAAGTTTGAGAATAATAAGAAAAACTAGATAAAAATAATATAAGAAATTAGAATACAGTACTATATTACTAAAGTAAAACACAGTAGGATTAAGGAGAAATACTTAATCTCAAGAAAAGAATTTGATCTCATGTTTCCACAGTAACAGAATTAAAGCCAAACTTTTATAATTTCATGCTTCGATCGAAAGTGCCTTCATTTAAGAATTGGGTAACCTCAAGGTTGTCGTTGATGTATTTTATGCAAAACTATTGACTCAAAGTTTGTGCCAAAATCATTTTTTCTTGTATAGCCGAAAGACACTGAGTTGTTGCTACTCAATTCATTATTCTTTTTATTATTTTTGTTTTTATTTTTGGTACTCAACATACCAATATGCAGAAATGTTTGTTTTAGTACCAGTAAGTATTTGTGCCAAATCCAAAAATAGAAAATTATTACTGTACCATTGTGCAAATACAGTAACTATTGATATTTAGTGCGTATGTTAGCTTTAATAAATATATCCATTATGCACCTACTCATAATGCAAAAATAATCTTTTGTTTCAATAAATAACTAATTTGTGTTCATGACTTCAGAAGGTCTAATAAAAGTGTAATGTTCTAGTAGTTTTCCTTCTAATTCATAAAATGCAAATCATTGTAACCTTTTTTCTCATATGAATATACTGATCTAATTATTAGAGAGAGAGTAGGAGTAAAATAATTAGTGAGTAGTACAAGTTATATTTATATTAAAAGGTATGACCTATTAACACATAGCAATCATAATCAGAATTCACAATTAATACATTCGAACTCCGCTACTATATACTTGAGAATATGGTAGAATTATTAGTACACATTACTCTGGCTATATCAACATTTTCAAGTCATTAGTAAAAAGTTCAAAATGTCAATATAATGAGTTATAATGACATTTTATATTAAAAATATCGGTATAGAAAGATTTTACTATAATGTTGTTATATCCAGATGTTGGTATAACCAGAATAACATATACAAGCTACTCTTGTTATAGTGGACTTTCGACATAGTGAAAATATAGTGAACTCTAGTGAAGACTAATTAAATTTCAATATAGTGAAATCAAACTCAAAGCTGGTCTATATAAATTATATAGTGAATAACTCTCGACATAATGAATTTTTATAAAATTTTTGTTAATAAAAATAATCACTTTACTATAACAAGTTTGACTTTTATTGAATTCACATATTCTTTATAGAGATCAGGAATTAAAAGTAAAATAGTATTTTGAGTAGTGTTGGTCAGTATTGGCCAATAACCTAAGTCATAACATTTTTTTCTATATTGCCTTAGTCATAGTCATATGATCATATTAAATGCTAATACAAAAATTTTTTTACTATGATTTTTATTATATTAAAGAGGTCATAAATTATATCAAACCTTTATTATGACTGAATGACCTATAACAGGTTATAAAGATTATATAGATCATTTAAAGCTATAGGCCAACACTGGCATTGGTTGTTAGTTATTATTAGCATGACCCTTACACAAATGCATATTAGCTTGAAGCAGTTTCAACTTGGTATATATTAAATTTTTAACATATAATTTCAAATGTTTTAATACTATAAATTATAAAATTTGAGCAAAAAAAACTTTAAATAATAATTCTCTTTTAAAAACAAATACTTATTCGATTCTATTAAATACAAAATTTTTTTTTATAATATTGTAATAAAAAAATTTTTATATTTAACAAAATTATTAATGACAGGAAAATTACTATTCTTTTTGAACATTTTGCAGATAAAGTAAATTGAGAAATAAGCATATCTACGAACCTGAATTTAAAATATTAACTATTATACTAATAATGCAAAATTACAGAACAAACATTTGAAAAGAATTATTAAAATGCAAACAATAGTAAATACTTGCAATTTGATTCTTATATCCAATACATTGAGTAAATGCTCTACAAGTTGATCATTATACTTACTACATACATATATATCTGGTCATATTAAATAAATACTTAAAATCTAAACAAGCATACTTATGATTAAGAAATTTGACATCTAGACAGTAATAAATATTTTCTAATCTAATTGTGGTTTCTCATTTATCTCATACAAGAGTTAGGATACTATTACAGAAAAAACAATACAGTACTTGAATCTATTATTATTACTCTTTTTTTTATTTTTATTTATTTTTATTTTTTTATTTATTATTTTTTTATTTTTTTATTTTTTTTTATTTTTATTATTTTTATTTATTTATTTATTTTTTATTTGATTTTTTAATAATACCCTTAAGCAGAAAGTATTGGCATTCATCAATACATGTGATTTTTTTTGCTCACAACTTTTCGAGCTTCATGACTTGTATCCTTTCAAGAATGTAGTTCATCCGATCTATGACTTCAGTTGGAACCATATTAATTCTCTTTAAGGGGTCAAAATATTTTAGAGCAATGGCTATTCCAAATGCAATGGAATTTTTTTCTGTATTTGAATTTGTAAAAATATGATCGATAATCATGTTAAGATAAGTGTATTGTAAATTGTCATCAGCATTAACTGGTTTATTTAATTTCATATAACATTCTTGTATAATTTCAGCATCTTTGAACCTCCACTCTTCCTTATGTATGACTTGTCAGTTTTCTATTTTAGGCTTTATGAGGTTTGGGAATTCAGTATGAATGATATCTTTGATTCATTGAACTATGTTGCTCTTTGCCTAGCAGGCAAACCTTTAAGCCTGTTTAAATAGTAAAAATAAGATTAAATAATATATTATGAACAATGATTCAATCTTACTTACCAAGAGATGAACATGCTTGTTAAAAAAATGCTTCCAACTGCAATTTTTGATTTTATTTTGAAATTCATATTTTTTTGCATCTGATAATGCATTATAGCAAACTTTTATAAGGCATTCATTGGTCGATACTTTACCTTCTTAATTATACCATAAATTGTAGGATCTATTGCATCCTGATGCAAGCAAGTATTTAGCAGGTCAAATAATAAAATTAATGTGTCATTTATCATTTATGTACATACTTTTATCTACTTAAAATCATCTTCTGAATGACTAAAACCAATGGCTTTCCAGTCTGTGTACATTTCATTGATTTTTTTTTGGATCTCTTGGATTATGGTAACCAATTGAAGTTGCATGTCTTGCATATTTTTAATAGTGGAAATAAGATCTATAAAAAAAAAAAAAAAAAAAGAATAAGTAACACAGTGATATAAAAGATCAAAAACATTTATTTAACTTATGAATTCTTTTTTATACATTTATACCATTGCCATCTATTTGGTTATTTGCTTAGAATTAGAATTAATTGAATCATTTTCAGAAATGTTATCAATGAAATTCTCATTATTACTTGAAAAACAATCTTCCAGACTGTGCAATGTAGCATTATCATTATGTTCATCTAGTTGGGTCTCCATAGATCCATTTTTGGTGATCTGGGTAGAGTCACTTGAAGTGCTTGGGGTGTTTAGAGCATTTGAAGTATTTGTTTGCTTCTCAGAAAGGTCAATACAAGGCAAATTATGTTGTGCACTTTTGCACCTTATTACAGTTAATGTTCTTTTTCTTGCACAACCCATATTCGTAAAAAAGGAATATTTATCTATAAAATATAAGTATAAACAAGGTAAGACTTTATTTCAATTTACAGTGCTTGATCTAATATACTTTGGCACTACCTTACTTTATAAAATACTTATCTCTTTATTGCTAAGAGAATCTGTATCAGTATCGATTACCAATTAACTATTTATTCCTATACTGTAATTATATATTTAATGTGTCATGTCATAATAATTATGCATCTATTAAAATTAACTCTGCATGCATAAAAATAAACTTCTAATTTATACTAATAAGGTAATGGTATGATCATATAATATGAATGAGACTTGATTTTAATCAATATTCACATAATTATATTAGTTAACATCATTGCGTTTATAGTAAAATATAGTAAAGTATAATAAAAAATTAATATATAATTAAAATAGTTTTCTCTTTTAATAACAATAAAGAAATAAGTGCATATTTTATAAAATAAAGTGGTTGACAAAATGTAAATGGCATATTTTCAATAGATGATAAACATGAAAGTAATGTTTTTGGTGCTGAAATAAGGTAAAGATAGAAAGTAGAATATAAAGTATAAAATAAAGTCTTACTAATATTGTAGAGCTAATCATTCAACAGAATATTACTAACTGTGAGTCTCAGTAACTACAAAACTATATATTTTCCAAAATGCCTAAGTGTTTCTCTTGTAATAAAACTTTTAAAGACTGGCAAGCATTGGGTAATTATATTAGAAAACATCAAGACAACAGTAATGATGATTTACCTTCTCCAAGCCAAACAAAATTTCAAATTTTATCTAAAAAAACCTCCAAAGTTTTTAATAATAGAAGCATTTCTAGAGAACAAAACGTACTTGAAAAGATGGAAGTAAATTATAAGAGAATACATTTTAAATGCAATTTGAACAATATTCTGGAGAAGAGTATTTTTAATATAGGTGAATCTAATAAAGGACAAAACCTTGACATTTCACTTTTCAACTATACAAACTCTTCTTAAAGCCATGAATCTGTCGAAGAACAGAACATCAAATTTTTTAATTATGCAAGCAATTCCTATAGCAGCAACACATTTGATAATGAATTCATAGTTTTGACACAAGCAATTCTCATAGCAACATATTCAATAATGAATTTGCAATATCCGATTTATCAGATATGACAAATACAGATGTTAATGAATTCACTGAATATAATAATTTAATTGCTAGAAAACCAAAAGGCTCTGAAGATATATACTAAGAATTTCCATCAAAGGAATATGCAGAATTTATGAACATAATAACATGTTTTCATGTACAAGATCTACTTGCAAATGCATTTATAAGGTTCTTTAACAAATATTCTAATTGTAATGACTATCTCTTATCATCGTCATCACTAGCTGGGCAGGTGTTTATTAAAAATCTTAATCTTCCAAATTTTGGCTAAAGAAAGGAAGTTATTTTTAAGTACAAAGAGTTGGAATATATACTTGAATTTAGAACAGTACTTGATGGAATCTATCAAATATTATTAAATAGGAGTATCACTGAAGAGTTTATATTTAAATATAAGTTTTCTATAGATAATATAAATAATATATTTAATAATATTTAATAATAATAATAATAATAATAATAATAATAATAATAATAATAATAATAATGATAATAATAATAATAATATAATAATAATAATAATAATAATAATAATAATAATAATAATAATAATAATAATAATAATAAT